ACACACACACACACACACACACACACACACACACACACACACACACATGCACACACACACACACACACACACACACACACACACACACACACACACACACACACACACACTTCATCATCATGTGGAGGTCAGGTGACCACCTCAGATCATGTGATCACATTATTTACACCCAAAAAGCAAACGACTAACCCTGTACAGCACAAAACACGAGCTGAGCTCATCATTAATCTGTCAATAATCATATAATAATATAATATAACTCTCACACACAGACACACACACACACACACACACACACATACACACACACACACACAAACAAACAAACACACACACACAGCGCTTCTGAGGGTGGGTCTGGTTAGGATGGATGACGATCTCTCTCTCTCTCTCTCTCTCTGCGGGAGGATTACAGTTATCTATGAAGCATGTCCGGTGTATGATCAGGATCTGCATCAGCTCTGACATTCGGTGTGTGAGAAGTGTGTGTGTGTGTGTGTGTGTGTGTATGTGTGTGTGTGTGTGAATATAGCTCGTTTACCTTTTCTGCCCGGTTTGTTTTGCGCTCGGATCCGCCATCTTCACTCGCTCGATGACGTCAGCGCTCGATTGATCCGCCTGCGCGCGCTCGATGAGTGATGCCTGATGGGCGCTCCTCTCCCTTTTTTATTTTTTTATTTTATTGAGCCCATAAACAGTTTATACAAATTATACATACATCAACACATCGGCAAAACAAACATCTTAAACAATGAAGCAAAAGAACTGCAAAAAAAGAAAAAAGAAACAGCAAAACACGGGGTATATAAAAATACATATTAAAGAGGCAAAATTTCCTCATTAAAACAGGGAAAGAGCCGCAGACAGTTGAAGCTTTTAGAGCCTTTTGGTTATGAGACAATTGAATCAGTGAAAGGTATTGTTTAAATTCACACAAACAGGTCTGGAGTTAGAGAATTTTGACTTGTGAATGTGAAATTTAGCAAGCAGCAAAATGAAGTTCACCGTACAACTGTTTACTTTTACATTGTTCATACTCAGTACAGCCCAAGACTACATCTTTCCAATACAAAGTACATTCACTTCAAATTTCTTTAAATAAACTTCGACATTTTTCCAAAATATTTGTGTAAATGCACAGTACCAAAAAAGACGAACAACAGTTTCAACACAGGCGTCACAAAAGGAGCAGTTGGAGGAGATATATCACTTTAATTTTATTAAATATAATGACGGCCTGGGTAGATTTCATGAATTATTTTATAAGAAATCTCTTTTACTGTATTTGTTAGAAAATAACTATGAGCTGCATCCATACCTTTTACCAACAAATATTATCCCCTGCATTATTCCTCCTCTCTCCCTATCTCAAACCGCGCACTCGTCCACTAATAATAATCCCTCTGTAGTACACATCAGTCAGTCGAGTGCACTGTGTCGGGGGAAACTGCACAAATCAAGGTGTCCGGCAGATCTTTATAATAACCCTGTTCACGTCTGAGTTTATGGATTAAACACGTGTTGTTGGATACAGGTGTTAAATCACAGCACAGAGAACAGCACCTGCAGCTCTGTGTGTGTGTGTGCGTGTGTGTGTGTGTGTGTGGTGTCCTCATCTGCCAGCTCACTGATCCTCTGTGATGTTGATGTTTAGGAAGCCGCGGCGTCTCCATCTTTACACAGTGAGAGCCGACACCAGAGCCGCTCCAACAGCAGCAGACCGGGCTGCACCACCCGAGCCGCTCATCACCCCAGCACCAGCGCACAAACACACATACACACTGACCAAGCTTAAAAGTGGAAGGAAAAGACATCCCATAATGCAGCTCAAATAACAGGAAATAAAGACAGCAGTCATCAACACTGCTGCAGTCTGCACATCTCCTACAGTGAGG